AAGAACGCCATTTGCTCGCGAAATATGCGGAGAACGCAAAAAATCTAGTACAGAACGATCATGATGTTCGGCCAAGAGCAACGAACCAGGAAACAAGAACAAAATGCCGTTATTTCCAGTAATTAAAATATTTTTTTAATATACAATCACTTACCATCAGTCCTTCCAGATTTTGAGCCAGCTCTCCTGCTTCGAATTTGCTGAAATTAAAACAAAACTTTTATAACTAACTTATTATTATAAAAATATAAACTTTATGGTATTTTCTAAGTTACAATTTAGAGAAATCTATATATTTAAAGGACAATTGAACACAATAGATGTTACCAGTTGACAAGCAAGCTTAACAAAGTAGCATGTTCATTCTACCATTGTAAGAAAACCGTAACTAAATTATTCTCATATGTTAAGTGTTCAGCGAAGCAGACAAAATCGTTGTTTATTTACCATCGTATCGTATTGTTAAGTGAACAAAATTGAACTGTTTATTGGAAATCACTATCTTTATTATTTTGTACTCTTAAAAATTGTTTTATAAATGAATGAATATTTGTATATTTTAAAGCAATTTATTTTTCATAATATTGATTGTTTCTTCATAAATAAATTACTGTCATATATTTAAAATTATGTACTGACAGTGTCATGCTAAAATGATCTACAATTTAAGTAACACGGGGAAGCAGGCATAGTTATACATAATATGGCTAGAAAACTATACCGTTTTGAACGCTACAGACTTATTAAATGTTTATTTACATTTATCAATATATTATATTACTAAGTATAAAATCATAACTCATTCAAACTGGTAATTATAACACACTATTTATATATTATAGACATAATATTAACAGTGATACAAAGATTTAATTTACCTGAGAGGCTGTTTGCATTCTACGGAGGTTTCTTGATTCATCTGTTGGGGAAGTCTAATGGATTGGGTGAAGCCAGATGCCGGTTCACCTTGTTGCTCCATCCTGAAATACATACGAAAAACAAACTGAGCTTCATAAAAGTTAATTGTAATATTATTAATTGAAACTCTTAAATAAATAACTTACGATTTAGGCGCCCGTAATTCAGAGGAGCATAGATTTCGTATATAATCATCGCATTCACGCTGCTTTTGAATTTGGTATTCCTTAAGCAATTCACGGCGGAAATCACCTTCCAGAGTTGGCACAAGCTTTGGTTCCACCTCCTGTGGTGCACGTTCTGCGAGAGAAGAACGTTCAGTAGACGCAGCTGTGGTTGATATCGAAGTAGACGCAGAGTAATCTTGTCCCCTGTGCTCTGGAGTGGTAGCATTTGACGCGCCAATACTGTTCGATTCATTGGTTTTTGTCGATGAAGCAATATCTCCTGTAGGTTTCAATTGCTCCTCAATTGGTTTTAATGATTCATTTAAACCATTGTACATACTGTCGCCATTTTTATTATCAAACAGTCTGTCCACAGATGTATTCATCAGTTTGCTCCCTTTTATACCAGTCAGATGAAAACCAGCAAAGCAAGAAGATGAAGGACCGTAGTCTATGGCAGATAAAGCCATTAATGCCGTATGACGAGGCGCACCATCGGGAAGAGGTCGAAGCGATCGCGTCATAGCATCGGCAGCGGACCGAGGGCGCCTGAATGGCATTGCCAAGTGCGGGAATGTCCGAGGTTTGATTGGTGTCACAAGCATATGCTCGGTCCATGAGGTGTGTAAAGAGGGACGATCCAGTTTCTCAACATCCACATTTAACATTCTTTGTTCAAACGGTACACTAAATGTTTCAGCTGGGATTGACTGCAGCCATGATAGTAGGCTCAAATCGGATTCATCAAACCCTGAACCGTCAAGTAGTTGTGAAAAATTAACTTCATTTGACTGAGCTTCTTTTGATCCTGTAGCTTTGGCTTGACAGTAATTTACACAAGATTCATATAAAATGCCTTTGATAAGTAACTGCATTAAGCGATCATTTTTAGCGCACTTGGCCACAGTTCCAGTAGACTTCTTGTCGCAAGGTAAGAACTGTTCCACCAAAGGATATACTTCTCGGAAACACTGTACTCTGGCATTACTAGGATTCCATTTCTTAAATTGAGCGTGATCAGTTATACTGGGGAGAGTAAGCAGTAAGCAGAGGTTGGAATATTCTTCTTTTGTGGGTGCAAGCTTCTCTAATTCGCTAAGTACTTTGACCACTTCATCTACAATATTCTCAACATTATTGTAAGCTTTGATTTCAGATCTGATGCAGAGAAGTTCAATATATTTATGCCTGAGTATAGCATAGTTAAATTTGTCTGCTTCAAAAGCTTTGAGTGCACTCAATGGTTGGATGAATTCAAGAACATCATCCCATTGTCCGTCCAGGATAAGTTGACGCAGAAAGAGTACATCGTCGGCATAATTTCCATTGATGACGCCGGTTTCACGCTCAAGCGACAATTGCGTGATGTGCAAGTCGCGGTTGTGGAGAAACTCGAGTGCCAGACGAATAACATCGTCTTCGCGCAAGTTTAAGTGTGTTGATGGCATTCTTGAGATGATTTACCTGTAAGAAAGATAATTTGATTTGATATAATATCTTAGATATACTATGTACGAACAAAAAAGGAAATTGTATGTAACCTAAAATTTGTTAACTTTTGTTTCATCTAATTTAGGTCACATGTAAATTACAACCAATGTAACGACAGCCTATCACTTCACCTAAATATACAACAACTAGGATATAGGAAATAAAAAAAACTAGAAACATTAAAAACAACGGTTCTCTCTATGAATCAATGTGGTGACACAGAAATGAAACTAATCAAACTTCTTCAAATGACTTTGATCTTGAACAGCTCAGGAATATAATCCGTGTCCTGAGCCGAGTAGGACACATCTAATACATTTGCAGTATTGATCCACTTAATAACATTTCAAAACGAAATTAGCAAATGCTCAAAAAATGTTTAAATTCACCTAACTGTTACAGAACAGAACTATTAGCTCTGTTTGCGATAAACACATGCTAGTATTAAAATGTTTAAGACACATGAAGAAAAACTCAGTAATTATATCGATGTTATAACCTAGTAGCAATAATTTTGCTAAGCAGCAGAGAGAGACCGGTTGCATCAGTAAGTAACCTGTAGCCTGAAGTATTGACATATTTATATTACCTCATTAGTAACAAATAAATAATCATCCTTTTAATTTATTATAAACAACATTAGTAATTGTTTGTATAAAAATTTATGAAGAACATAGATTTAGCTGATCAACTCTCTTTATGTATCATAAACAAATTAATGTCATAGTTAATTTTAAAAAGCAAGGAGTTAATTTATTCTTATTTTATCCCATTTATTGCCAATTGTGTTAAGAAAATTGTCAAAAAGTATAGCAGTAACCATATTACATTTCAATAATTAATATTTACTCTATATTCAGTTTTCTACTTGCTATATCACTTAATGAACCTGAGTTAATGTATGAGCATGGAAGGATTTGTTTTAATTTTATGTTAGCTTTGAAGACAGATATCTTGTCTCAACTGCATTACAATAATATTAACTAAATACATGAGTCAGAAATGGGTGTGGAATCATAAAAGTTATGTTTTTATAAGTAATATTTTGTGTTAATTTTACTACCATCAATGATATGAATTTCCATACAATAATTAATGTAATATTACATTTTATACTTTACAAAATGATTAAATATAAAAATAACAAAACTCTCAAAACTACTATTATTATTAAATAATTACTCATGGAAATTGTTATGTATTTGTTTAACCAGATAGTTCCAAATAAAGATAAAAGTTCGTTTGAAAAACTTTCACTAAGAAACGCATATTTAAACGTAATTTATATTCCTACCAAGGGAAAGTCAAATATCAATGTGAGTATATTAAGAGAAAGCATAATTATTATTTTAGCATCTCATCAAAATATACTTCGAACATGTGAATTGATTATCTTGCATTTTTAACGTTGGAAAGGAATCCTTAAATTCTAAACAATATATCTACGACTTGACAAAATTTCATGTAAATGATTACACCTACACAAATGTTGGATATCGACCGAGGGTGCCACCGTTCAATTATAACATAGTTAATACATATATAAATACTATTATAATATTTACCATAGGCAAAATACAAAAATCATGAACATATACAGTTACAAAAACAACTATCAATTATTTCAGATAAGTATTACATATTTCTAAAAATAATTAATGAACACTCACCTGATGTATGGCTGAGTCCTTTATTTAGCGGTAATGCTATAATAATTTAAAATAAATTTGTCTACATTTACGACACTATTTTTATGAGAACATTTGAAAGAGAATAAAAAAAAATATTCGACATAATATCGTTGTCGATTGTCGGTCGTTGAAGAAAGCTTACACAGATAATATAAATATGAGTATGAGTAGGAGATTATTACAGATTACTTACAGATTTTAATGTCACGTTGTCACGTCAATATAGAATTAACGTATAATAACATATCATTATAAGATAAGTGTGAATTGCCACTGATTACATTGCTTTTTCATCTCACATTTCTAGACTACCGCTGTTTTGGTTTTTAAAAATTACCGTCTTGTTTTTTATAAATTCTATCTCCATTCATCTTACATTAATTGTGGATTTCTATTATTTGGATGATTTATAGCTAGCTGCGGAAAATTACATTTATACCTCGCTTTCTTTAAATCTACACGTCTGTATATCTTGGCATATCTAAACTGCTAAAAGTAGATCAAGCTGATTCATTTTATTTACAATATCCTACACCAGAACTGTGATTCCAAGATCTGTATGCATTAAATGGGGATAAAAATAAATAAATAAAGTATTTTCACGATAAATGCCAATGTATTAGAATAATTTTACAGAGGGCGAAACCATTCTGAAAAAATGTGAAAAACCAGCACACATAAATAAAATAAAAAAAAATCAATGACACTGGCAACACAGCAGCTAATGTCATTGTGATTGTAAAATAAATGTGACAACGGCGGTCTCACACACTGATAGAAATATAATAAATTAAATTTTTAGAAAAGTATTTACAATGGATGAAGAAGGGGAAAGTATTTTGCTCGAAGATAATTATTATCAATTATTAAATGTGTCAAAAACGGTAAATACTTCACCGCATGTTACTTAGTATTTCAGCATTATTGCAACATTATTATATAACTATCCCAGTTATGTCAATAATTAATTGATAAAAACTTAATGTAATATTACAAAATACCAGGGTTCATCTAATTTTACACTGAAAATATTACATCATGATGTAATTTTCTTATGCCGCTGCGCATATTTGAGGTTATATTATTATGTTTTATTTATCGGGTAAGGAGATCATTTTGCCGTATCATATGCTCAATAGAAAATATAATGGTTAAACCCCGTTCTTAAAACCTTAGTTTAGCTTTTTTGTTGCAATTTATTTGGTTGTCATGACATATAAGTCTCCACCAAAGGGTTATAAGCTACTATTTAAACACGATAATCTTTATTTGTTTTCAGGCATCAACAGAAGAAATCAACAGTGCCTACCGCCGTTTCTCACGCATGTTTCATCCTGACAAACATAGTACTGACAGCAAGAAACAAAAATGGGCTGAACAGATATTTAACAAAGTAAAAGAAGCTTATGAAGTACTGTCTGATTCTCACAAGAGAGCTATTTATGATACCCTAGGTAATATCCCTGAGATTTACTTTAACTGTTCTGTATTTCTCTGGAAAATTAATTGTACAAAAGAATATATTTCACAGGAAAACGTGGCTTAGAAGTGGATGGTTGGGAGATTATATTTAGAACTCGAACACCAAAGGAAATTAGAGATGAATATGAAAGGTATGATTATTGTGAAAACCTTCTTGCTAAGTACTTTGTCTATTGATATAAAAAAATATGAATTATGAAAATGTTTTCAGGCTGAAGCGAGAGAGAGAGGAACGGCGGTTACAGCAAACTGCCAACCCACGTGGCACTATCACTTTGTCTATAAATGCAACAGATATGTTCACAAAATATTATGATCAATATGAAATTCTGTAAGTAACATCGGAGTTCTAGAGATGACGCAAATAGTCCATTATATGTAGAATCTACACATTTATAATTAAGAAAAATATTAATTCTATCACTAATTTAGAACACTTGAAAATTAATTTTATTTACTAAAAAAAAAAATGGACAGTATTTAATATTTTCTTTTATTTTTACTATATGTTTATGTCGTAGGGATGATACAGCATTAATTCCTAATATAGAAGTTTCCGGAATGACGATTCAGCAATCCATTGATGCGCCAGTTACTCTAAGGAATACCATGACTTTATCTGGAAATATTTCTACACAAAATGGAAATGGTAATTTCAAATTTATTTAACATAACTTAAGCACGAGAATTATAAAGATTAAAAACAGATATCCTTTTTGGTTTCTTTCTTTTTCTTTATAATATTGCAATATTAAAAATGTATATTTTCATTTATTCATTGTACGATCATGTGTTATTTGTATGAAAATTTAAAGTCATACTGCCTATTCTCACCTTGTTTTATTGTTAAGTAGTCTATTAGTGTATGTTTACCTTGCATAGAGAAAAATTTAGAACTATGGTCGAATCTAGATAAACAGGAATTCTCTAAAAGTGAGTTATTGTGAATCACTTGAATAAGAGAGAAATGTTTATTATATCACAGTCCCTTGGTTACTTGAGTATCCAGATTCAGCTGTATTAGAATTGATAACTTTAAACAATAACTTTATTTATGGATATTTCAGGTACAGGATCAGTGAATGTATCAAATCGTCACTTGAGTTCTGAAAAGGGGTGGACTGAAGTAGAATGTGGTATTGGTAATGGACCACTACTCGGGTTTAAGGTGTTTAGGACATTATCCCGAGTGATGTTCCTAAACTGTGGCACTGTACTGCAATTTACTCCAAGAGGGATAGTTCCGAGTTTTGTGTCGAGTAAATATAACTTTTCTACTTATATCTTATTTGAAATATTTATTAAAAGATGATTGTGTGAGACTATTTTAAACTAAAACTGTGATTAAACTTTTTAAAATCCGTTTTACGACTGATTTACTTATTTATTCTAACATTGATTTAGAAAATATTAATGTATTATGTAGCTTGCTATTGTCCATGACTTCGTCCGCGTAATTAAAAAATAAACAAAATTAGTAGCCTATGCATTCTTCTAGACTATGTTCTATATGTATGCCAAATTTCATCAAGATCTGTTCAGGTGTTCTGGAGATAACTTCAAACAAATATCCATCCATCTAAACATTTGCATTTATAATATTAGTAAGATTAATGATCCTGACTATATAACAAGTTTATATTTCCAGCCATGGCATTGCAGTTAGATGCACATTCAGTTGGTTACCTCACATATCGTGCAGGCGGTCAAAGTGGTTCATCAATGACATCCATGTATGTCCGAGACTCAGAGAAATATCACACAAACACTGCCCTACAGATTGGGAATCCACACTCGTTCATTTCTTTCAATGTTATGAGAAAACTGCCACAGTATGATATGAAATTAAGATTGGCTCTCAAGTAAGTTTTTTTTTTAATAAATAATGAGCTATTGCCTGCAACTTGGTCCATGCAGATATTAAAATAGAAACAGGTTGATAAGTATCCTATACCTGTCCCCTAGTTCTAAGCTAACTGCCCAGCTATTTTCAGCAAAATCCGTTAAGCTGTTCTTGAGTTATAGTGTTACTAACACAACTTTCTTTCATATTTAGATTTGCTACATAGACTAATGTTATTCCACAGTTTCCACTATTTATATATACCTTATACTAAAACGTTTTTTATCTCAATTTATTCTTTGTTTTAAAAATATTATGCTGAGCTTGTAAACTGTATCTTGAAATAAATTATGCTTGTAAAATTATCTTAGTATATAAAAGCATCTGAAGCTAAAGCTGAAGCTTAAATGTATATTTTAAGTAGCTGTCGCCTGCGACTCCGACCGAGTGTAATTAAAAAAAAACTATTGGTCGCAGCGTAATATTATAATTAGCCTAAAGCCCCTTCCTCTATAAATGGACTATCAAACAAAAAAGAATTTACAAATTGGACCAGTAGTTCCTGAGATTAGCGCGTTTAAACAAACAAACAAAAGTAAAGAAATATAGTTTTTAATTTTAGATGCTTTTAAGCAATTTATTATTTGTTGTGCTGTTCTATAATGTAGTCATTGCATTCTATATTTAAATGTATATATGATAAGATTTAATTTTTGTACATAGCTGAATAGCGATTGTTTTTTTTTTTTAATTTTAAGTCGCAATTTTTACGTACATTTATAGATGTCTATCTATAGTTATGTTGTGATCACAATTTTATGTCAATATTCACATCCTTGTCTTATTTTAATTAATATCTTACTCAGTATGATTCAATTGAATATGGATATTAAATAATTCAACAGGACACATATAATGATGTATAATTATTCAATCGAGTAAAATACATCGTAATAAATATATTGAAATAAATAATTTAATCATCACTATGTCGCGCTTTTATAAACGTTACGTAATAATAATAAAACGCATATTATTAATTAATATTATGTAACATAATAATATAATAAATGGATAATAAATGCTATATTAATATTGGCATTTTACTATGTTGTAATGAAGAATATCTATGATATATATTCGATGCACTTTATCTTGTTAATTTTTATTTATTTATTTTATAGTAAAAGCTATGCTTTATGCTGAGTCTCCATACAAGCTTGCTCTATGTTATTATGTTTGATACAAAAAGTTCGAACGTGGTATTTTTTATTAAAAGTTACCAAACAAGCAAGTGAAGCATCTGCAAATGCGTTGCGTGATCAATGGTGGAGGGGACGCACAGAAAGAAAATATTTCCCCTCCCTTTAAAATTGACTGATAAATATTCAAGTTTGAACGCAATAACATCAAGTAAGCTTGTATTTGGCAACCGGGAGTTGCTCTGCGCCGGCGCTGAATGTTGTTGTTTGACAGTGAAAGCGAACGCACACATGAAAAGGCGTGGTGTCACGCGACAATAACGACCATTTTATATTATCCGTAGTGTGTTAAAATACCTATGTGTTAAATAATGCTCGGCGATTTTGTCGGTATGTTCGCGAATTGTCGGCTGGCATGTAGCGATGACAGACAGAAGCATTGGCTTTCGTCATCCATCTCATAACGGAGATAACAATATTTTATATAACATACGGTTATGTTGGTATCGGAAACCAATGATAAATATTTTATGCATGCAAAATTTCACTTTATCACGCTTTATGCAAACTGTAGAACAGATTAAATTGAAATTGTACAATATGGTTAAAAAATATTACAATGCAAGTAAAGTGATGTTTAAGAATTGCTATTTACAAATTTTACCTATTATTTTTCTGATTGAAAAACTTATTTGTTACAGATTTGGTACATTTGGAGCAATAGCTGAATACGGTGCTGAAAAGAAAGTATCACAGAATAGTAGTGTTTCTGCTGCGGTAATGGTTGGAGTGCCCACTGGAGTTGTACTCAAACTTAAGTAAGTATAGCATTTGTTTTGTAGTCTATGTGTTCTTCCAGGCTATGTTCTATATCCATGCCAAATTTCACCCAGATCCATTAAGTTGTTCCGGAGATACCTTCTAACAAACATCTTTTTTTTTCATATCATAAGGTGGCAAACGAGCGAGCGGCCACCTGAAATCGCTGAAATAGCGAAGTGACCGTTGCCCATAGACATACGCAATTGCATATGCGTTGCCTACCTTTAATCGACGGAGGAGAGGATGCACAGAAATAAAATGTTTTCCCTATCTATGCATCCTCTCATCCGGAAAGTCCACTTCCACTTCCCATCCTTTCCTTATAAGAAAAAGGTAGGAAGGGAAAGAGGACTAAATTAGGTCTCCGGGACGCACACTCATCAGACGAAACGCGGAATTGCTTCCACTTGACGCCTGTCGTCTGTCTGGTCATGGTATTTCACCGGGCGAGCCGGGCCAATTCGTGCGAAGATGTTAAAGCGGGCTCTACCATTGTTAAATCTGTCCATCCATCCATTAGTAAGATTAATACATATCAGACATGATCCATGATACATAATTAGAATAATAATACTAAATATATTTTGTTGTTACTATCAACCAGAATTAATACTACAAAGTGATTAAATCATAATCTCTTATAGCTAATTAATAATACTTAATATAATGTAATAACTTTATTTATAACCTTGAAAGTGTAATTTCAATTAAAAATATTTCAAATGGGTAAGTCATATATGGTTAATTCTATGCCACCCATAGATGATAATAATAACAACATAATGTGTGTCTGATAACACATCATGCACCTGAATGAAATTGATTGAGGAAAGGAGAAAATAAGATATCTCATATTTCACTTAATCTTATCCGCTGTTCATTTATAATTGATTTGACTAAAATATAGCGAATCTAGCCTGTGTTTTATATACTAATAAGGTTAAAATTATTTATAGATGGAGCTGTTCGTCACAAACAATTGTAGTGCCAATGCATCTTTGCGATGAAGTGATGCCATCACCTGTGTTTTATGCCACTGTTGTCCCATTGGTCTCATGGCTGGTCTTAAAGAAAATGGTCTTGGATCCTATCGCTAAAGAGCGTCAAGAAAGAGAAAGGCAAAGATCTATGGAAGCGAATTTCGAAAGGTATTTATATAAGTACATTTTTTTTGTTAAAACCTTTGATTGCGTATAGAGAAAGGTGTTTTTTAACATACCAGATATGTCAAAGACCTCATTCCTCTCATTTTTTTATGAAGACGGACAACATTGTTTTTGTAGCGTTTTTCCAGTGAAAACTCACATTTATTGTAATACAAACTCATTAAACACAAAGAAAGGTGATATAGAAACTGATTGATGATTAACATTGAAGTACTTTTTTTTATTTAGCGATCGCTCGCGACTCCGTCTGCACGATGTAAAAAATAAACATAATTAGTAGCCTATATGTTCTTCCAGTCTATGTTCTATGTTTATGCCAAATTTCATAGAGATTTGTTCAGCCATTCTAATGATACCCTCAAATAAACATCCATACATCTAAACATTCGCATTTATAATATTGGTAAGATTAATTTATTGTTTATCTTATTATAATAGGTTACAAGAAATGCAGCAACAAGCTCGTGCTACTGTAGAACTGATGAGAGAAACCTATTCGAGAATCAGGAATGATGAGGAGAAAAAGAAAGGCTTGGTTATATTGCAAGCTTTGTATGGAAAATTACCTGCAGGTAAATCGATTTAAATATCATTTCAATTCTTGCACATGGTGTCCGATATTAATTAATATAGTAAACATATGTGAATTTTAATTTTATAGACAAAAATCTTTTAAACGATTATAAATACAGTTATTAAATAACTAAACTGTTGGTTTCTGAGATCAAAATTCTTGTACAGAACATATTGACATCCCTGTCATTAGCTTTAACTAAACAGAGATAACAATATGGTTTAAATGGCCAATTTGGTCTCAGATACCCAGAGGAAGTATGGAATACTTACACAAAAATATGCTTTTTATTGCTGGCAATTTGCAGTGTATGAATAAATTTAATCAAATTGGTTTTTTTTAATATTAGCAGATTTTTTTATAAATTTACTAATATTTCTTTTGCCATTCCAACTAAGCTCTAGGCTTGTGCTAGGACATGGTTTACGACAATAGTCGAATGGCGGGATTCGAACCCCCGACCTCGTGATCGGAAATCCGTACACTTAACCATTAGGCTATTGACGCTATTAAATTAGTAATAGTGCAAGTTACTTAAAAATAATGAAGATTAGTCTATTATAAATTCCATATAAATATTTTTCTCCCCTCTTCCCGCTACAGACAAGTCAAATTTACCAGTATTTGAATAGTATTAAGTATTTGAATACCTAAATACTGGTATTTCCAGACAGCCTGTATAAGCATCATCATAATATTTTAACATACTTGTGTCACTTTACTTCTGGACCCTGTATTTGGATTTTTTGTTTTCTATTTGTAGGTGCAGATAGCCATGATGTGGCACCAGATGAAGCAGGTGACGGTGTTCAACCAGAATCACCACACGGATATTCCGAAGTGATTGAAGTTACCATACCTCTGCAGTGCCTTGTTAAGGATTCCAGGCTCGAGTTACTAGAAGCTAGCAAGGTATATGTTACTAACGCACAAATAAATATATTTTAAACAATATTTGTTAGAATTCGTTACCAAGTCAAACGTCAGATTGATTAGTAAGGAGACATAAGCCACATAAGTTGATATTTTAATAGGACTTGTGTTGCGCCGATACTCCAGCACAGTGTCGCTTTTTTTTTCTAAGAGTATAAAAAATGAAGTGACACATTCTTATGTTGAAGGAAATTATTGTGATGCCGAATTCCGAGATATTATTAATTATTTGCTTGATATTATCCAATATTGATTTATTCAGTCAGTGCAGTGCGCACACCGGCGAGGGCGCTGTCTCTAAATCAAGTCTGTCACTTGTCAAACGCATTACTGACAGATGCAGTGACTGTCAGACGTCAATCACACCGAACAAGCAATGTTGCCATTGTAATAAAATAATGTTATAAATTGATATTCTCTGATTTTTTTGACATTCAGCTAGCCATATTGGAAAAGGCCTAGTTACCCCTAACTTAAATGGAGATTTTTATGAACTGACAACACAAATATAGAAAATGCTATTTTGACTAGTTTTATAAATTTTTTAGCAATAAAATAAGAGAAGGGACCCCCTTAGATGTAGAAAAACGAATGTATCATTGTATAGGTAATGTCGGGCTTCTACTGTCGAAACATGTCACATGCGGTGTTATGAAAGTTTTCACAGTAGACATGACAATGTGTTTAGTTACAGTTGCCATGGAAACTACACGATTACGAGGTTTGTACTGCATAAAAGTGCTGAATTTCTTAAACGCTGCATTATAGACCGACAAGGTTATCTGACCGGTGGGCATAAGTCAAACTAAATGATGTCAGCTCACTACCGGGGGGCGCTAGTGAGCTGACCAAAGTCAAAAAATATCGCAAGATTAATTTTAACAGTGGTAGAGCCCGCTTTAACATGTTCGCACGAATTGGCCCGGCTCGCCCGGTGAAGTACCACGACCACACAGAAGACAGGCGTGAATGCATGAAAGGGGCATGAGAGGATGCATGGAAGGGGAAGATATTTTCTTTCTGTGCATCCCCTCCTCCGTCGATTAAAGGTAGGCAACGCATATGCGATTGCGTATGTCTATGGGCAACGGTCACTTCGCTATTCCAGCGATTTCAGGTGGCCGCTCGCTCGTTTGCCACCTTATGATATAAAAAAATAATTTTATACAGTTTGTTTATTTTTTACCTTACCTTATGATCTAAAAAAAAGATCCCCTTTATACTGTAGTTGTCATGTCATTTTCTATGTAAGTATGTTTTATACATATTCTGACAGCATTAATCGCTATTATCGATAGTAGCGCCTCTCACCGGTTCAGTTATATTTGTTTCTATACCTATGAAAATTCACAAAATATATATTTTTAAGTAGCTGACAGGTTTAAAATATTTTAATAATTATTTATTTTTTCTATTTCAGTCGGAGTTACCAGGATTCTATGATCCATGTGTTGGGGATGATAAGCATCTTACGGTCAAATACTCTTACCATAATAATCTTTACATTTGCACCATTACTGATCAACAAGCCGTCGTATTGCCGCGCAATAGTAAGTAATATTATAAACCTATTTAAAAATATATAGTTAAACACGTTTAAAACTTTGAACGCCGGTGAAGGATATAGACGTGGTACTACTTTTGCTATAAGTTTTTAATTATTTATTGGTCAAGAACTAATTTCGCTAATAATAATGTTTTTAATAGCCACGGTTTGTCAAAAATCCGTTAGTTATGTCACGGTATAAAAAGGTTAACATATGTTTAAGCTAAAATGTACGTATGAAACATAGTCTGATTTTTGTTTTAAGGCTTTTGTATAACATTTAAAGCACATTTTTTTTATTTTATTTTGTTATACATACAGACAGATTGATTTTATAAATGTGTGTTGATATGTAAATTAAGGTATGTCTAAAATATAATATCTTTGTTTCCAGGTCATCGAATAAAAAATAGATCCTGAAAATTAAAGTCGAGGTGCAAACGCTAGCACCCACAGCAAATGAATGCAGCTTCTTCAAAATTATTATTATTTATTTTAACATCTTGTTGCTGGAATCCAGTATTTGTTTTGTGAAGTGCGTGAAAAACTCGTTTTGCAATATTTAATGAAAGATATATTTATTTTTGAATTGATATGATAAATGTTATATTATTGTCTACGAACATAGCATTATATATAGTACATTGTTATTTTTGTACTATATTTTGTTGCCATGGTAACCTATATGATGTTTAAGAAGTGCCTTTACGTTCGCATGTCAGCCATGTTGAAAAAAAAACAAGATATAAGTGGACCAATTTAATAGGTCATTTGACATTTTAATGAAGTTCCAAAATGTAACCTTGAAACGACGGACTTAAAATATTTTTTTTTGAAGATAACAGTACAAAACTGGTTAACTTAAATAATGCCAATCGAACGTCGTTACAATGTTGCTTCAGTGAGAATTTTATCTTTTTAAACACTAAATATTACAAAATCGAACGAAAAACATCGATTTTTGCTAAGTGTATTCGATTTACAAATGTTTACAAGTTAATATCGATTAATTCATTTTAATCGATGTTTTTAAGCAATTTAATCTATGATGAATCTTAAATAGATAAATGTCAAATATGACCTATTTTATTAGCCCACTTATAGTACCGAATATCGCTATGAATTCGTAAATTTTACGTACCTGTATTTACAAAAGGTGCTCATTCCAAGATGTAAGTACCAATGGCTTAAAAACATCTTATTTTTCTAAGGCTATTATACGGGCAATAATAATATAAGTCCAGCAATAATATAGAAACAAGCATATAGAGAATAATGAAGTTCAATATTTTATATTTAATGCTTTTTGAAATATTTAAATAAATTGTTAATAAAGTTTTCTTCTATTATATATGTAGTTAATATTGGCACAATTAATTACTTAAATTATAGCAATAAGTCAATTTAAATAAATTATAATAATTTTGATGAACACCAAAACTATTTATTGATACGTCTGAGTAAATGAATTCAAAGTGTAATTGTAGCGTAAATGCATTTGAGTTTTTCTTGTATTAAGTATGGTATTCTATATCGTTTGATGTCAAATTTAAAACATATTTAGGTGCTTGGGGGCATTTTAGATTAGCCACATTCACAATTGTATAAAATACTCAAAAAGTTTAATGATTTTTTGAGTGTTTGTAACAAATTTTATCATGGAACGATAGTTTAAACTGTAGTTAACTGTGAATATAGTTTAAACTGTCGATTGGAAAGTCTTATATTAGGCAGAAATTTTCCAAAAGATGGTATGAGTGCATACTATATATATTTTCATTATTATTATAAAAAAACAAATGTAAGAGGTGAGTATTTAGTAAACAAAGATATTTTAAAATTAGTCATGTTGATTGTAGATGCCAATAAACAATTTTTAAGCATTTATAATATGTTTTCTTTTTCTTAATAATATTGATATCCTGTCTTATACAACTTAGGGTCCTTCAAGAAGCGAGCCTATCACCACCTCAAAGGCCGGCAACGCATCTGCGGTTCCTCTGGTATTACTGATGTCCATGGGCGTCGTTGAACCTCGGTGTTCCCGCTGCTCGTTTGCCCCCTTCTGTTATAAAAAAAAACTAAGTTTCAAAGAATTATTTAGTTGTTTTGAGTTTTTATTACCATAATAAATATATAAAAACTTATTGCTATCACAACTTTTCAAGGATAAAGAGTGATTAAAGGTGGCAAATGCAATGTCTATGGGCAGCGGTCACCTCGCTATTTTCTAGCTATAATATTAAAAAAATGGGACACCTGCAAGCAAAACCTTTCGATCAAAATCGGAACACCAGGGGCGGAGTAAAAAAAAACATACAGACGAATTGATAACCTCCTTCTTTTTGAAGTCTGAAAAAAGTTTTAGAAAATGGAACTACACAAAGGAATGTTCAAAATTTGAAACAGATTGATTATAGTCATGTGCGAAATCTTAACGAGAATTGCGAATATAAGTAGCATAAAACATTACATGTCCGTTTTACGATATAGTTACCCTTTGCGTGTTTATACTATGCTTTTGTATTCTACCACACAATAGATAATAAATCCATTCTAGGTGTGATGAGATGACTATACAAATTGAACTCCGACGTTTACAACGATTACGAAATTAAATAGATAAACCACTTACTGCCATGTAATTTAATTATAAATATTCTTATTGAAGACTAGCTGTCGTCCGCGACTCCGTCTTCATGTAAAGACAGTATTTAGTAGCCTATTTGTTCTTCCAGACTATGTTCTATTTGTATGCTGAATTCAAGCGAGATCCGTTCTGGAGACTCCTTCCAATCCATCCATCTAAATATTCGCATTTATAATATTAGTATTGTATTTCATTCCAAGATAAATGTGTCATTTTATCTACGTTATCATAATAAACAATTTTTGTAGACATAAGAAAAATTATATATAAAGTAAATTATAAATGCCATTAAGGCATATATTGTTTGAAATTCGACCATAATTAAAGTTGAAACTGACTTCTTAATTTTTAAAATAAATTAATAGTGAACAGAAATTAAAAGTATAAAAATAAAACATGAACCTCAAAAAAATCGTAGCTCTTGTACTATGTAATTAACTAATTTATTATAAGCGTTGCCAACCGCAGTGAATAGCATGTGTGTGGCCTAACATCTAAATATAAATTATATTAAAATATAAGCAAATACTAAAAATATTTATTTCAAAAAGACAAAAGAAGAGGGTTGGAAGAAAAGTTAATATTACAAAGTAAACATAAGTTCATCATCAGCTCACTATACCTCCCAACTGAGGGTCTCGGAGCCTACCCTATGTTAGGGATGACTAGGCCATAGTCAGTCACGTTGATCCAGTGCGGGTTGGTTGATTAAATATATTAAACAGAAAATCATCATACATTACAAAGATCCTGCCTCGCACAGCAACGTTGTGGAATGGTCTGTCTTCGGCGGTATTTCCAAACCGCTACGACTTGGGGTCCTTCAAGAAGCGAGCTTATCACCACCTCAAAGGCCAACAACTGCATAGCATCCTTACAGTATACAACCAATTTGACACTATACACACTTTACCTAATAGTTTACACGATAACATATTTTATAATACTGTAAAAATACATAACAATGACAAATAAAAAAACAAAGATAAACACTGCAAGAATATATCAACGCATAACTAAACATCAATATTAAAACGTCTTCCACTCATCTGTAGACAGCCTCTGTGAATTTCGGATCGCTGCAATTAAATAAATCTATATCTCTAGATATTATATTGAGAAAGCGTATAGCCCGCATTATAGGAGCATTTGCATAAATAATAAGGAATAAACATAATCGAATGATTATTTACACGTATGAATATTAGACGTTTTTCTTGCAATAACGTCATAAAAGTACAGCAAGCGCAAATACGTCATTCGCAAAGAGCCTCCTATTCAAAACAATTTAATCCTAAGTTTTTTACATAAACTAGTACCATAAAGATGTTTCCTTTGGTAAAACCATAGATTATGTTGATTGTTATCACAGGTACATCGTTAATTGCCTTCTTGCTTATTCTATAGATGTAAAAAATATCAGGTAAGTTTCATGTTATTACTTTAACAAAGCGAACATCGTGACTTAAAGAAAGGCTATACTCAAAGAATCCCAAATTCAGGAGATTAGCCCAAAAACATGTGCTAAAGCGGTATACAGCAAGAAATCCGTTATCACTGCTTACCCTTTTGACATAGGAGTGCGCCAACATTATTATTAGTAGATTTTAAATGCGAATGTTTAAATGGATGCATGCATTTGTTTGTTTGAAGGTATCTTCAGAAGAGCTGAACGGATCTCTATTTGGATATAGAACATTTTCTAGAACACATATAGGTTAACTAATTATGTTTTTTTTTAGATTCGCGCGGACGTAGTCGCGGGCTACTGTTAGTTTATTTCATAATTTTTATTTAGGTTCTTCTGAGAATCGTTGAAATCTTCCTAAATATGACACGTGGGGGAGCGTGTCAAGTATTAAACATTACATAAACGTAATAAAACGTTTGTCCTTGAGTGATGCATTGTTAAGTATTTCATTGTATAATTACTTAGTCAATTAGTGTTAATAAGAGATTCCCTCGACGTGGTGTAATTGAAGTAATAGAATACTTAGACTAAGACTTAGAGCCTTGTATACACTTTTGCCTAAACTTCTAGATTTAGGTAGTTATGTAGTCCCTGCAACGCGTTTGCCACAAAGATGATTGCCATTTCCAATAACATATTCCCAGTTTTTTAAGCCTTAAAATATCTTTTGTTACAAACCCACGTGTACAAATAAGTATTGTCATTTTTAGTTGGACTTATGACGACGTAACTGTAACAAAATTCTTCAGAGTGTCATCGTCCGTTGGAAAATTTTATAATTAAAATTGGATTTTCCTATTTTAAAGTTTGTACTAGGTTTATTTTACTAATAATTGAAATGAGAAATTTAAGATGGATGGATGGATGTTGATGGAAAAGGGTTGAATGGATCTTGATGAAATTTGGCATACATATAGAACATAGTCTGGAAGGTGTTCTTCCACCAGGCCACTAATTAGGCTTTTTATTTCGCGCCGACGGAGTCGCGGGCGACAGCTAGTATAAGATAAAGGTTTGATCGCGCACAATGTGCCTTTAGATTGATCTGAAATCTAACGAGTGTTTTACGTAATATCGCATTGTATTGACCACGATTATAAATTGAGTCTACCGAGCCTGGAATCATCATTAGTTTAAATGGCGTTGTCACTACCTCAAATTATGTTTACAATTGTTGTTTGTAACTTGCTTTTGTTGCGTAACGTAACATGACATGTCAAAGTCAATATCAACGATGGTGTACCGTCAGTTTCAGATATCTTGGTGGCTCTTAAATCAAGCGATTCACTGCGAATAATACAAATTTGAATGTAGCGATATGCGGGGGGAGGCGCCGATGACATTGGGCGGCCAAGATATTTGGAAAGAACTATACCTTAACTATTAAAAGCCTAACTAAACCTAAAAGCGCATATGTGCTAAGCATTTCAATGATATGTATGAAGCCAACCAACCCGCACTTGGCCAGCGTGGTTGACTAACCAGTCATCCCTAACTTAGGTTAAACTCCGAGCCCTTCATTTGGGACGAATAGTGATGATGATGATGATGATGATGATGATGATACCATAACTTATCCTTTTAAACACAATCTTTTGGGTTATTAAACTTTCTTATTTATTATTATTAAACTTTGGGTTATTAAAGATATGGAAAACGGTAACTAAATTTACGAGTACCAAACGCAACTTATAATTACGGTTAACAGTTACGAAATGAGAATAATTGTACCTGTACGTATCACGGGCATGCATTCTTTAACTATAAATAAACTCTGTTATAAATATGAATTTTCGGGGCACGACGAATTTTAAGTTATAATAACTCGTAACAAATTAACGTATCCATCGACATCTTAAAACTACGTACAAATACTGGCTCTGTATTATTTAAATTTCTCTGAATTTATGTGCGTTATCCAAGGATCAGTAACCTGAACAAGTTTATTATAACAATAAATCGACTTTCTTATTTCACTACACGACGATCTTTTCCTCATGATAATTGGATGGTCCCGTTATTTTTAGTTTGTAACTGACGTAATATTAATCGTTTAATCTTCACTTAAGGAGTTTCTTAGTGTGGACATATGGCGCTATAAGAATAACTGGGCCCTATGATACTAGCGCTCCCCCAGACAATGTTTAAAAATGCCTCATAATCAAACCTTGTTGTGTTATAGCTATCTTCTCATAATTGTTATCTCATTTCCTATTTCTATGTAGCTTTTATATGTTTTGTGACAGAACTATACCGGTTCAGATAAGCTTATAGCACTATACTTACTGCTCTGGCTTCTACAATGGGTATATTTATATCTTCTACAGCATTTTCCTTCTCAGTCACTTCAGTCCTTAGAGAATAGTCGTGGTCATCGAGTAATGCGTGATTCGTTTCACCGAACGCCTCCACTTTTCCCAGACTACTGTTTTTTACGTACATATATGCAGGAGGACGTCTACTACAGCTCTAACCTGGTCTGTTTGTCACTTTTTCCTGGAAACAATACATAGTTCTTAAAGGTAGTAATTTTTTTTATTTACATAGAAGGTAAACTTTATTTATTCGAATTTGTATTTTAAATTACGTTACAACTTGCTGAATGATTTATCGCCACAGTTTTATTCAGACTATTGTTAGAAATACTGTCTGCAATTGTATAAGTAAGTTTAAATTCGTACATTTATGTGAAAAAAACATTTAAATGGCGACAATTCCAAATTACTAGAAGTTTTCTCATTTGTTAGCTGCACAATGAATGCGGCAGAAAAACTCCGTTACATTTTTTTGTGACTACATTTACGATAATCCAGGTAGATAAGAAATATATCTATATATAGTTGGATGGTTTGTATTTCAGTTCCCGTTTGAATTTAACTGATGTATTTCCATTGGTGAAACTCGTGGTTAAATACAAATTTTATTTTTATAATACAATGAGATTAATTACTAAGCTGTTAACCATTAGAAGTTAACAAAAGTGTTAACACTTTTTTAAGTTAACTTAAAAGTTAATCCTGTAACCAAAACGTTAACAAGCTAATTAATGAATAATCTACCTTTGCTGTTAACGTTATAGTGGATTTCGAATGTCGTGTGTATATTACGATCCCTTTCATATCCTTTGACAAAACAAAGACAACAATATGTATTAATACAAATATGACTGCAGTTGTAATTATAAAGAAGAATGGCCTTGAATTAATTTAAGTTTGAATAATGAAGTAAACAAAAAACAGGCGTGAAGTGGAAGCAATTCCGCGTTTCGTCTGATGAGTGTGCGTCCCGGAGCCCTAATTTAGTCCCCTTTCCCTTCCCACCCTTTTCTTATAAGGAAAGAATGGGAAGTGGAAGTGGACTTTCCGGATGAGAGGATGCATGGAAAGGGAAAATATTTTCTTTCTGTGCATCCTCTCCTCCGTCGATTAAAGGTAGGCAACGCATATGCAATTGCCTATGTCTATGGGCAACGGTCACTTCGCTACTTCAGCGATTTCAGGTGGCCGCTCGCTCGTTTGCCACCTTATGATATAAAAAAAAATCTTTAAACAACGACCTACATTAAGGAGTGGAACATCGAATTCTTTGTAATTACGTTTTGAATGTCGCCATCGATTATCAGATATTTTTTTCAAACTTAAAACTCAATATTCTAACCAACAATATTTTTAGCTTCGCGCCATTTTAGCGCAGATTTTTCGAAATTCTTTCTTTATCTTCGTTCGTATGAAAACTTATATAAAATTTGCCGTGACATCTAGAACTTTCAGCTGTTAATAGGCAGGTTCATTTACAAGAAGATAACAACTTCCTGCGCATTAATATAACTTACTGAATTAAATGCAATAATTATGTAAATAGCATCCGTTTACATGATATAAACGTGTGATATAAACTCATCTAAGCATAAAAGTAATATATTTTAAGTTAAGTTACTTATATCTTTTAAGTTAATCTTCATATTATAATATTATATACATTTTACTAATATTATAAATGGGAATGTTTGGATGGATGTTTGTTACAATGTATTTCGAGAACGGCTCAACGGATGATGGAATTTTAATCGATGAGAGATGCTCTCGATGAAATTTGGCATCGATGATCATAGTCTGGTAGAACACAAAGGTTACTAATTATTTTTTTAATTCTGTGTAGACGGTGCTGCAGGCGACAGCCAGTATTACATATAGCCTTTAATGATAGAGAAATTTTATCAGCCCTTGTTAACGACCGTCATGTGATATCTTAAGGACAATCTAACAATATTTTAACTGAGGACTTTATATCATAAAATCCTTAGTTGAAATTGCATGATTCACGGAATGGATATGTTTTGGCTGGAGGTTACACTCAGTAATTTATAAATGACGTAAGCTATGTTTATAACATTTGAACGTAGTTGTTTACGATGTGCGAAAATACTAATTTTTCCACGCACAATTAAGTGCTACTAATTAACCTCAGTATTTTCAACAAGCCTGTCAAATGTAAGTCCTTATTGGGAAAGAGGATTTAAATAGAGGCCTAATTTTAGTCCACTGTCTTTTAGTCTCTTTTCTTCAAAGGTTAGCGTGGAAAGGAGAAGTAGATTTGACGGATGAAAGGACGCATATGAAGGGAAAAAGCTATGAAACAATACATTAAATTTCTCTCTGAAAAAAAAAAATAGCTTTCAATATTAGTCACATTTTAACTAATTAGTAACAATTAAGTAAAAACAAATAAAAACCAATTAAATAGAAGTTATAAGCTATGAAAAACAAACAAAAATATATTATTTTGAGAATTAAACAAAAATAACCATAATACCAACTAATTAGGGTATTTAATCGTATCAATATAGGCTGTAGGACAATTTTCGTAGCAACTATGGAGGTGGAGTCAAACCGTTGTTGTTTCTTATTTTGAAAAAGAAAAAACACTTACAAATGACATATTAAAGGCTGAAATTAAATTAACCTTCTCAAATAATCGTATCCGGAATCACGTCCTTCTTTGTTTAAGATTAAGATTTACCTTTCTGTTGCATTCATTTCTTCAAGTTTGTTGAATACTGTTTATCTTTCGCGCACTGCATTTCCTTTTTTTAATGAAGTATTCATCATCAGCTCACTATACGTCCCCATCGAGGAGTTCGAAGCCTATCCTAAGTTAAGGGGGATTAGGCCATAGTCAACCACGCTGGCCAAGTGCGGGTTGGTTAACTTCACACATATCTTTGAATTTCTTCTCAGATATGTGCAGGTTGCATCACGATGTTGTCTTTCACCGTAAGAACGTCGGATAAATGTACATATGTAAATCGGAAATCGAAAAACACATTGGTATATGGCGGGATTCGGACCCAGGACCTGCAGAATGCAAGACAAGTGCATGACCCCTGAGCCACCGACGCTCTAATGAAGTATTGCACTTTGATAAATATTGGATGTTAAGTTATCCGCTTAATAAACTATTATTAAACTTTTAATAGATATGTTTGTATTTAAAAATGTAACATTTAGTTAACAAAAACAAAAATAAAAGACTATTAACTAATGTTTCACTTTTAAGTAATAGGTTACATTCTTTCTTTTATGTAGTCTCAAGTAATTGGGAAATTATTTGCTTTGTGTTTACAATAGTAATTCTATCTAGATATTACATATTTTTTTCTATAACAGAAGGGGGCAAACGAGCAGCGGGAACACCGAAGTGTTCAACGACGCCCATGGACATCAGCAATACCAGAGGAACCGCAGATGCGTTGCCGGCCTTTGAGGTGGTGATAGGCTCGCTTCTTGAAGGACCCTAAGTCGTATTGGTTTGGAAATACCGCCGAGGACAGACCGTTCCACAACGCGGCTGTGCGAGGTGAGAAGTTGCGCGAGAATCGCACCGTTGTAGAATGCCAGCCATCCAGGTGGTGTGGATGGAACCTGGCGGTCTGTCGTGTCGTCCGATGACGGAACTCGACGGAACATATTTTCTTCTTCGCATACTTCATTACTGAAGGTATTGCTCGTCTTGATATGATTTTACGGATGCGGAATGGATTGTACTTTTGTGCTTTGTAAATTATTATGACGGAGTACATGCTTATTTTCTGGTTGTGGATTAGGCGTCCGGTAATAACAGTCTGCAATGTATTAACACTGTTGTTATGCTTCTTCCAATAAATTAAGTGCGCATATTCTTATCAATCCCATGAATTCAAGGATTGTTTCTATATATACAATGTATCGTGAGTCTGTTCCACTTGGACAAAGGTAATTTTACATTTTGTATATTTATTTCTTGAGAACAACAGGAAATTGTACGTGAATTGTATAATAGAAGGACTTTGGTGAATTATAAATTCGGCTGTGGACAGATTATCGTTGGTATTATTGAAAAAAATATATGGGATGTTCAAAAGTAAGTGTCGAGAGTATTATATCTCTATGTCGATGTAATAGTGAACTCAGTGTTGAGTTTACTCTTGGAGTCGCATTTTAAATGCACTTAAGATGAAGTGCGTCTAGAGTGAGCAAAGCGGAGTAAACCAACACGATAGCTGATTACATAGAATGCTATTCACCAATTCTCGCAGCGGTGGCGCCGAGGCTAAATAATTTATAGACAGATCTAAGGGATGTTGTTTTACCGTGAAATATGACAACATTGTTAGCGAAGGTTTTCTGGGATTTCCGGTGGCGCTGTAATACATTTTCTGAATGCTTGCAGATAAAATCGTAACTAAAACAGTTTACTGTTATGTAAACATCGAATTCATGAAAACTCCTGAAAGCATTTTCTGTCGTGTAATCGTCCTAGATTCTTTTCAGTTTTTGTTGATGATGTAATAAAAGATGACAATTTCAAAAGCTTTAACAACAATAAAAGCAGCGCAGAGTTGAGTATACATTTAAAGTTTTTGAAACGAGTGTTATATTTCAAATCGAGGTGTAAACTTGAAAGGCGGATTCACTATTGTGAGCACAATGGGCGTGCCTAACCTTATCTGTGACAATCCCATTTCGTGTAGGTAGTCGCTTTTTTATTACTGTCCACAACTTTTCTAGAGACCGAAACGTGTTGATCGCCACCTAAAAATAATTATTGTAAAATTTATCTTTTAAGTTTTTATCGCCAGATTCTTGCGCGGTGTCTGAAAGATTTTCCTGGCAAACCTGAATATGCTTAATGTAATGTAACCTTATATATCAAAAATTGGGCCGCTGAGATGTCAACGGAGGCGGCTGCGGAGGTGGTAGCGCGATGACGGGGTGACGGGGCGGCGGGGCGCGGGTCAGGGGCGGCGAGGGCGCAGGGTGCAGCGGCGCTGCTCCGGCGCAACATAAAGCGCCCCCCGCTCCGCGCGGCTTCAGTGCCCACCGAGACCCGCGACTGTTAACACGCTTTCGCGACTCCCTGCCGCACTACACCGCTGACGCTGAGCCGCAACACGCGATTGTGTACACTTGTGAGCGAGGCGCGCGCCCTTTCTCTCACGCAGTGTGATCGTGCCTCGGTACGTGAATGCAAAACCGGACTGCTCTCTTGGCAAGAGACAACGAAAAGGAATCTACCGCCGTGCGGGACTCTGAAGTATTTCAACGGGTAAGTTTGATATTTATAATTTTTGAACAGCCTCAGCGACTGCATTTTGCCTCTGCGAGAGTTAGAAGAAAATATTAAAGGACATAAGTGTGGACTTCATGAAAGCCTCTCAGGTATCCAAGGTGCGGTCTGTGTTCGGTGATCCATGGTCGGGATGCATTAAATATTTCAGATATGCAGCAGGCCCTTATAATTAAGTGTTCCCTTCGACGGGTTAGAACTGCGCGCCGAACGTTGCGGTGCTGTTAAGGTGAACAGCTCTACGGTATTTGTAAATATTGAGACTCGATGCGAATAATTCACTTTTACGTCGACTTTGAAACAAAAAAAAATTAAAAGACGCGTTCACGTTTTATTTTTATTTTCGTAGTATTGTACGTTTGAAAAATTTAAACGTCCCATATCGATGTCACAGTGAAATGTGGCTGGCGATTCGACGCGTATGTTTGGTTCTTTTGTTCAAGTATTATTCACTGCGACTGGCACGAAACACAAAAACCCATTATAACAGCAATGTATTCGCCGTCAGTTTGTTGGGTAACAACTGAAATATTGCCGTCCAGCGCCCCCCGGGCTCGTTCGTCCGACACTAAACAACTCGTCGGTCGTCGCTTATAGGATTCTGTTACACGTTCATCAAAACACAACTTTCTTTTTCACAGAAAGTAAACAGAATACGTCGTCCGATACATTTTCAAAGTTTACCTTGTTCAACAATCGGTCATATGATATTATGACCCGTATAAACAACATTATTGTAACGAAGAACAATGTTATTGTGGACATAGGAAACAAGTCCAAGCGATTGCGCCCGCTCCTATTATCAGGACACGTGTACATACATAACTTAAATAGATATGAGGTCCAAATTCTTTCTTTAAATTTGTCCGTTCATTTCTTAACTGAGGTGATTTTTTTGTTTATTACCTACCCACCTTAACGATCTAAACGACTCATTAATTAATGGCATGTACTCATTAAATAGTTTCGAAGAGATAATGGGTTTTAACTTGTCGATAAGTGCATTCAGAGAGCCACTTAGCAATGTTTAAATAGAAAAATGACAGTAAACACGTTCTCTTAAGTAAACATTAATATTCAGCTCTTTTGAAATTAATATTTTATACGATTTTTATGTATATTATATGTTAAGATAGTTAACAGGATAAAATTAAAAAAGATTTTATCAAATCAATTCAAATACATTTAAATCAATTGGTTACAGACTATATAATTTTTATAACACTTTTCCTGCTGCCAGCGGCTTCTGTAGTATTACTTGGTGTAATAATAATAAAAAAAATATTTATTAAATATTGTTTTTTTTATAAAAGCATTTTTTTTCGTATTTGCAGTACTAATATAAAAGCTATAAATTAACTTATTTTGATTTTAAAATTTTCAATAAATTATCGCGTCTATAAATATAATACCTAGGTAATTTTATTTTTTATCCATATAAATGTAAAAAAATAATTTTAAATATGTATTATAAGAAATTCTTTAAAAATATACATATTTCATATGTTCTAATATTTTAAAGCGTAACACATACTTCTTTGTAATTCAAGATCTATGCAATTCCGCCATATTTTTGAATAATTCTCTTTGTAATAAATAACTATATAATGACATGATTTAGGCTTGAAAAAAATATGATAGAAAAGGACAAAAATTGCAAGCCAATAGCAACAAAGGTAGTTACGGTAGTCAACCAATGGCGAAGGCCTTCGTTGTCATTTGAATTTTGACATTTGCAATAAAACAAAATTTATCTGTGTAACAAAATTTATGGATATGAAAGCGGATGAAGCCGCAATGAAACAGTTTAATTTTTTTTTGCGTTATGACATTAGTTTTGCAGTTTTAGCAAGTACGTTTATTAAAATATTTAATAAAAAATATGTTGTTTAATCAGATTAAGTGGCTTTTTTCTCTGTCGAGCGTTAATTCTTACGACAAAAAGCATTAGTTAGTTGATGCACGATGAGTAATTATTCAATTATCTGCTATAAACAAGGACTGGAACAATTTCTGTATCACAGTGGTTTTCCTCCTTCATAACGATTTAGGTTTCGTAGAGGCCTCGTATTTTAAATTCATAGATATGTACAGTCAGCTGCATAAATATATATACATCTACAAAACTTCAGAAAGTTGTATACGCTTTAGTTTCAAATAAATATATACATGTATCTGTGTTTCTTCTGACTATGAATTCTATGTTGGTCGAATATATATCTATTTTTGAAAGTGAAGACCTGTACAAATTTGTAAGTTTTGTAAATGTGTACATATTTATGCAGCTGACTGTACATACGTCTTACCATTTAATTACTTGTCATATATTGTACGTTTGTACATGAATTAATGCTCAGATGGAACTGTCAATAATGGATTATCACAAACTGGTCTTGATGGGTAAATATTTGAAACATTTTAGAGCTATGTTTCTTTTTTAATTAGAAAAATAGTAAATATATAAATTATTTCATATTACACTTCTCAACTTGTATTAAAATTATATTTGTATAATATTGTGATAAAGATTAGAGCAATTGAAATTGATTTAATTAGTAGCGAAAACCTTAACTGAAATTTTTTGTTCCAAATTTAAAAAAAAATGGCCAGTAAAAAGTGAGGTTATATTTTAGTTGTTAAAAATGACAACTTATTTAGTCCTTGTTATTTTAGCTATAAAATCGTTGAAGTTTAAAAAGCACGCTTCTCCGTTATTTACTTTTCGAATTTATATATAAAAAAAACTTTTCAACGTTATAGAAATGTGTATTCTTGATTTAATAAAAGAATAATGAATAAGTTATATGTTAACAATTATCGCATTATTTCCATTAATTTATGATCTGATATTTTTTCCTTTAACTCCTAATTAGACATTTTTTATTGATTTGTGCCAGTATAATAATTATAATTTCTTACAATAAATATTTTATACCATAGTTTTCAAATGAACGATCCCCTTATGTAAAAATACAGACAGAGGAACGACGAAAAAATATATAAAACTAGTGTTCTTGTAGCTTAGTGAACCGGTGGAAAAAAAAATTCTCTGAAAATGGAACACTCCGCTCACCTTTTGGTTGCGACCCACGGGTTGTAAGCCCCTGTCTTATACGTTCCGTGTTACCTTAAGATTATGTCTACAGCGTAAAATGTTACATGAGTGATTTCCACGATGTGACGTATCGTATGCATGTAAAGAAAAACAATAAACAGTTTGCCGTTTTCTCGTCAACTTCGTAAGTCCTTAGCAGAGGTGCGTTACCAAATGATTGTTACAAGTGTCGTGTCGCAACATGTGGCGAGGACGTGTTTGTTTACTTGGTACATGTTGCAACAACTCACAGTTTCGGAGCCTTCGGATCCTCCCCGGTGCTAAATATAGCCTGTTAGTATATGTTATGTATTTCCCAGAATCAATCATGACTTGAATATGTTACCTGAACCTAACGGATTTTTTTTTTATTAATTCTTCTTGAGTCCGCTTAATTGATTTCATGTTATAAATAAGGTTGCAAATTGAAGATTATTATTTTTTTTATACTACTGTTATATCTGTAGAAATAAAAAATTTAATATGAAATTGTTAAAAAAAAACAAAAATAAAATAAAAAGTATTAAAATCAAATCAATAAAATTATCGTAGACGTAGAACCACAGATCTCGCCGCGGTTGCGTGTAGCCGAGAAAATCGTTTACAATAATGCGTCATTTGAAATTAACTTAACCAGATTTAACTGGTACGATGCGGTTAATTCGGTTGACTTCATTGGTGCCATGAAGAAACGTGGAAGGTGGACGTGTTGCGTAACATTGCTAGGAAGCATAAACAGTGCTCGTATAAAATATAAATTCGCGTTCTTTATTATGTCGTTGATGTCTTCACATCGGTACGACTGTCACAATTAACTCGTTTTTAATACGTCACACAAATATTTCGCGTTTGAAGGTAGACAAAAAAAATAAGGTGCGTCTGCTCGGATGTCATCATCTGATAAGCATTTAAATTTTGAAACAATATTTTATTCGTATTATATATGTATTTTATACATTCAAATAAAAACTAGAATAACAGCATGAAGCGCATGATTGACATTTCGTTTTTACTAAGTCAGAATTAAAAAAAAAAACTTAGTGTAAACTTATAAGATACACATTATAAATTTAATGTTGGTAAATTAAAAAAAAACCTTACTTACATCATTAGTGAAGTTTGCTTATACTGGGGTAACCATCATTGGGGGGCTTGTGCCAATAATCGCCACTCTTGGCAGGCGGGTTGGCGATCGCAATAGTTCCACTGTAACCTAGGGACGCTGCTGCCCGACCTCCTGCTTATACTATTCGTAGTTAAATTGATAAATATTAAGACGTAATGTATATTAAACTTAACTTTAACTATGCACAAACCAACGCTGATATATCATAATAGAAAAAATCTACGGATTTAATTTAACTATAAACTTGATTTTATATTATGGAAACAATTAGTACCTTTAAATGGTAATTAAGAAGAACTTTAATTGTGATTAAGCCAAACTAATCGTACATTAAAAACAAAAATACGTTGACATACATATTCTTTCTATGTAAAACTAACTGTCGCCCACGACTCCGTCCGCTCGCAATTAAAAAAAATATTTAGCCTATGTGTTCTTCCAGATTACATTCTATATGTATGGCAAATTTCATCGAGATCGGATCAGCCGTTCTGAAGATAACTTCAAATATCCCTCCATCGAAACATTCGCATTTATAATATTCGTAAGATGTAAGATGTCCGATTTATTGGCTAAGAGATATGAAAAATACTGACGAAATCTTAAATACAAGCTCTAAATAATGTTGAATATTTCTAATACTAGATTTCAGATTATTAGAATATTTGGATATCACGTCAAAAGTAAACCGGTATATATAAATACGTATTTAAAATGTATTCTGTAATACGATTTAAACCAGTTTCTAAGTTGTTTCAC